GCTCTTGTTGTTAATTTTTCTGCTCCAATTATTGATCCTTTTGTTCCTGCAATTGAACCTTCTATTCCTATTGAGGCTCCTCAGCCTTTAGAGCCTACTACTAAAATTTTCTTGAGAAGGTCTACAAAACCAAAGAGACTTGTTATTTCTAATGAATATTATGTATACCTTGGGGATATTGGTGATATTGTTGATCCTGTAACATACCGTGATGCTATTACTTGTCATCAATCGAATATGTTGGTAGGTGTCATGAAAGATGAGATATATTCTATGGCACACAATGAAGTGTGGGAGCTTGTGGAACTTCCTGAGAGATGTAAACCCATTGGCTGTAAATTAGTGTTTAAAACTAAGATGGACTCCAAAGGTATGATTGAAATATTTAAAGCTAGATTGGTAGTAAAAGTGTATAGCCAGAGGGAAGATATAGATTTTAATGAAACTTTTTTACCTGTCTTTACGAAAGATTCTTTCAGGATCATTATGACATTAGTGACTCATTTTGATCTAGAACTTCAGTAGATGGATGTGAAGACAACTTTCCTGAATGGTGAACTTAGTGAAGAAGTTTATCTGATGCAACTTGAAGGTTTTAAGGAGAATGTGAAAGAATATTTAGTGTGCAAGTTGAAGAAGTCTATCTATGGTCTCAAATAGGCTTCTTGTCAATGGTACTTGAAATTTAATAAGATAGTAAGTTCTCTTGATTTTGTTGAGAACAAGATGGATCAATGCATATATCTTAAGGTCAGTGAGAACAAATTTATTTTTCTTGTTTTTTATGTTGATGATATTTTGCTTACAAGTAATGATTTGGTCTTACTTCATGAGATTAAACATTTTTTATGCAAAATATTTGACATGAAAGATTTTGGGGAAACATCTTTTGTGTTAGACATTCAGATTCATCGAGATAAGAGTTGTGGATTGTTGAGACTTTCTCAAAGGGCATATATAGATCGTATACTTGAAAGATTTAATATGCATAATTGTAAGTTTGAGGATGTACTTGTTGTAAAAGGTGATAAATTCAGTTCAAGTTATTACCCCAAGAATGATCATGAGGAGGAGTCTATGAAGAGTATACCTTATGCGAGTGCTATTGACAGTTTAATGTATGCACAAATTTGTACTAGGTCTGACATTGCTTTTGTAGTTAGCGTTCTTGACAGATATTTTTTCAAACCAGAATTAGATCATTGGGTGATAGTTAAGAAAGTTATGAGATAGTTGAAGAGAACAAAAAATTACATGCTTGTTTATAAGAGTGTTGATAGTCTTGAGGTGATTGGTTACTCAGATTCAGATTTTGTTGGGTGTCATGATGATTTAAAATTCACTTCAGGGAATATTTTTATGTTAGCTGGAGAAGCAATATCATGAAAGAGTGTTAAACAAACTCTCACAACTTCTTCTATTATGCAAGCTGAATTTGTAGCTTGTTATGAAGCTGCAACACAAGCTATATGACTAAAAAATTTTTTTTTAGAACTTATGATTGTTGATTCTATCTCTAGACCACTAACAATTTATTGTGATCATAGTGAAGTTGTGTTCTTCTCAAAGAACAACAAACATTATAGTGAGTCTAAACATATGAAAATTAAAGATCTTTCTATTAAGGATCTTGTGAAGAAATGTGACATTGTGATTAAACATATTGATACAAATCAATGTTTACTGATCCTTTAACCAAGAGACTGAGATCTGTAACTTTTAAGAAACATGTTGACAACATGAGTATATTGGTGTCTTTTGATGAACTTGGTTAGTGGGAGTTTTTTTTTTTTTTTTTTGTATTAAGAACTTTAGTGTTGATTTAATTCCATATGTGATATTTGATACTCATTATGGTTGATATATATCTATTTGATGATTATGTTTATTGTTAGCATGATATTCTCGCTATGTTATATGTGTACACATTTATGACATATCATTTTATATAAAATTTTAAAACTTAGTGTATGTCTTAAGTATGACTGTTTTGTCAATTGAATATATCTCTGATTACACAATTTAAGAAAATGTTGTGATTTTAAGTTTAAAGACATACTAGCTTATTGTTGAAGCTAATGAATTTCTCTAACTTATTGTTGAAGCATGTTGTTAAAGAGAAATCATTTGGAGGATTGACAATGAAAATAATATGTTTATCAGATTACATATTGAGATGTTATTTTCTTGTTACACTACTACATCTTAATCCATGTCAATAGAATTATTATTTTTTGTAATCATGAATTGGTCCTATGTTAATAAAGGATGTAAAGGCCGCCATGGTTCAAAAATAATAGTTTTATTGGACCGGATTGTATTTGAGATGTTGTCTCAGGACCATATTATTTTTTTATTGTGGCCACATTGAGTTTTGTTTGATTAGTCCGAGAGTCGTTTTTAAAAAAAAATATATATATATATATATATATATAATTTTATTTTATTTCTATATGACTACAATTAATATTGTCCAACTGGGAGAATGTTGAAAATTTTTTTATATAAGACTGCCATTAATTGATAGTTAATTTTAGTTTGTAAAAAATAGGCTGAATTTATGATCTAATGAGATGAGCCCAATAATATTAAGTAATCTATTTTGATGTGCTTATGTACATCTTTTAATTGATGTGGTTGAGACGGTTAAGTGTAGTCCTTAATCTAATTATGACCCGTAATGGGATAGTCCATTAAATTTCATTATAAATAGCAGGCTTAGATCTCCTCTCTACTTGATAACCCTAATTTAACTTGTCACATTGAGAGCCGCCTATTACTTTGAAAAAGGAGAGGAAGACCTTGTCATTTCAAGAAAGAAATTCGGAAATCGAGTATCATGACTTATACAAATATGTTCTAAACCTTATAATTTAGTTGTTCTGAATTTTCATATTCGAATCATTAAAATTTCTTATAGAAGAGTTAATCTTTATCAAAGACAAATATTAATTAATTATGATGTACTCTCTTTGCGGTTTTACCGTGCCCTTCTTTCACGCTTCTCCTCATCCCTCCGTGAATGTTTTCTCGATTGTTATAGATGTATTGCTCTAAACCGTTGAGAACAAAAATAAAATAAAATTGGTAACTTAAAAAGTAAAGAGCACAAGACCAAGAGAGCAACGATACCAAGAAGCAACAAAGCTAAAAAACAACTCATAAGAAGATTTAGAGTGATAGTATAACATATATATATATATGTGTGTGAACCAATTGATAAATTGTAGATTTCAAGGTGTCGTAATTCTTGTTAATATATGCCGTTTATGGGGTCAACCAGTTTGGGGTCATATTCATATATACGAATTGTCCAAGACGGCACGCCAATTAATCATTAAGGAAACCTTATCTTTATCCCCAATCTTACAATAATGCTAAGTAATAATTAAAGAATAATACTATTTAAATTTAATTTGCTAACATAATTTATTGTGAACGTTTGATTAACATTAAGTTTTAATATTTGATAGCATCCATTGTCAATTTAAGAACTAGTGAATTATGTCAATAAATTAAGTTCAAATAACATTTCACCCCCTCCCCTAAACATGCGTGAACAGAATATGTTTATCACATCACCCATTCCCTTCCTCTCGGAGGGCCAAAAAGGATGAGTAATGTTACACAATTTAAAAAATTATAACTTAAATGTATATTATCATTTGAACGAGTAGGTCTCATTAACTTTTTCAGTGGGATCCATTCATGCAAATACAAGGGAGTATATAAATTTGAGTTATAATTTTTAGATTTTATTTAAATTGTATAATATTTTCTAAAAAAAATTAATCTAAAGGATGTGATGCTAATTTGTTACTTTTTGGTTAAGAAATGCTCAAATTTCCTATGAAACACATTCTTCACAAAATTAAAATAAAAACAAATCGTGAATGCTAATATATATTTGAATTCAATTTTGGAAAATCCTAGTGATAAATGTTATTTATGGAAATATTTCTTTTCTATATTAGAAAGCATACACCTATTCTTTACCAAATTCTAGGGGGAAAGAAATTAAACTAGTTAATATGGAAAGAAATCCTTGCAATCAACAAGACCTAATTAAAAGCATGCTCGAATTGGAAGGTCATGAGTATTTACATTCATTCATTTTAATATTGGATTGTCTCAATTCTATCATAATCGAAGCACGATCTAAAATATTCATTGGGTTTTCCACCAATACACATATAGTGACCTTAAATTGAAAGCATTATAAAGAATAGTGGAGTGGATCCTGCTCCAGTACTATTCCCTCTAAAACTACATTGTGCCTGTTATTGGAGTAGATGACCAAACTACAGGGCAAGTCAAGATGAACAGTTATAGCTGTACCAGTTGTGCAAGCATAAGAAACTCTAGCACAATGCTACATTCTTGCCAACTGATAAACTATGCAGCAACTTTAATCCATTGGCTGGTCCCATTGTTGAATGCCTATCATTATAGCAAAGAGAAATTCAAGGGTCTTCGCTAGTAAACATTAATAAATGAGCAGTTACAAATCTCTTAATTACACTTTTTCGCTCGTTTATATTGTTGAATATTCGTATTCATGATTGTTAACTTAAAAATTTATATATATTGAAAAAAAAGATCTAACACGAACGAGTGTTAACGAATCAAGTAAGAATGTGCACACCAAATCTTTTACGAAAAATTATTTCTTAAATGAACAAGGATAGTTAGATCAGTAACTCCAATTTGAAAAAATTAACTAGTAATCTACATTTATTCGAGAGTAATATGACCTGAACTTAATTTGCTAAAATAATTACTTAGAACAGTTGGATTGATAGTTTACCCTAGTATTTATTGCACATGCCATTTACACGTTCACACTATGTCCCTTACCATCAAACTTTTTCCTTTAACTGTTTTGACAAATCTTTTGTCTTGATTTGATAGCCAGCAAAAGCTTTGTTCCCACTTTGTTGTTTTTTCTAAGTGTACCCATGTTGTTACCTCAGAACACATTAATTTTTTTCTGGCCGGAAGTTTCCTTGGTTTTGTCAGCCAAAAACATAGGAAACATATATATTGATTGATTCGTATTCGTAGAATCTTGTGTTCGATTTATGTAATCAGCGCCTGCATGAAACCAGTCTTTCTATCTCCTTTTTTCCTTCAACATCTCACTAATTTCACTTCGTATCCTCCACATGGGTCTTGGGAAATTCCTGCTTTTGGTCATAGTTTCCGAGGTCTTTAGAGTTGCGACAGCTTGCTCTAATGGAGAATGCAGGGTCTCTCTCTCTCTCTCTCACACACACACACAGTGGTATGTTTTTTATGATGAATATTGTTGTTATGTGTACAAAATGTAAGTTCTGTCTGGGAATATGTTTGTGAATGTAGATTCTTGATGGATGCTCAACGGATGCAGATTGCGAAGCAGGACTTTATTGTTTCTCTTGTCCTGAAACATTTTCAGGTTCAAGATGTGTTAGATCAACCGGCACAGATCAATTCAAGCTCTTGGTATCATCTCTTTCTCTCTCTCATACATATACACAAACACACACAACCTAAATGGCTGATTGGGAAGTTGAAGCATGAAGATCTGATTGTGGGTGTATGGCTAGATTACAAAAAAAAATAAAATATAATAACATATTTTCTTGTGGCAATAGAACAATTCTCTTCCATTGAACAAGTATGCATTTTTGACAACCCACAATGCTTATGCCATTGACGGTGAGCCATCTCACACTGGAGTTCCTAGAATTACCTTCACCAACCAAGAAGACAATGTTACTCGGCAGCTAAATGTATGGCCATCCTCCAAAACCTCTTGATTTATTCTAAACGTTTTTAATAGGCTTATCAACTTTTTTATTCTTCTTTTTTTTTTGGATTCTGTTCATATTTACAGAATGGGGTTCGAGCCCTCATGCTTGATACATATGATTTCCAAGGAGATGTATGGTTGTGCCATTCATTTGGAGGACAATGCCATGACTACACTGCATTTGTAAGTATTTTTTTTTTTTTGGAAAAATTTCAGTCAAGTCTTTCTAAATTACTTCATCTTCAAAAAAAAAAGAACATTTCTTGAAGCAACATGTATTATATATCACATAAAACATAATCATTTAACGTATATTCTAGGAACCGGCCATAGATACTCTACGGGAGATTGAGGCTTTCTTATCGGCGAACCCATCGGAAATAGTATCGGTGATCCTAGAAGACTATGTTCAGGCCCCGAATGGATTGACCAAGGTTTTTACAGATGCAGGGTTAATGAAGTACTGGTTTCCTGTTTCAAAGATGCCTCAAAATGGTGAAGATTGGCCTCTGGTTAGTGACATGGTAGCTAACAACCAAAGGCTACTCGTATTTACCTCAATCAAGTCCAAGCAACACAGTGAAGGAATTGCATACCAGTGGAGTTACATGGTCGAAAACCAGTGTAAGAAACCAATTATACACACCTTAGCTCGAGTTTAGCTCGATTTTGACTTGCTTAAGTCGAGCTCCACCAATCACAATCGACCCGAATTTGCTTTACCTATATTAGTTTATGTTCTTTATTCATGAAATTATACTAATGAATTGTAGATGGAGATGGTGGGATGAAGGCAGGAAGTTGCTTTAACAGGGGAGAGTCATCGCCACTAAATGACACCACTAAGTCTCTGGTTTTGGTTAATTACTTCAGATCTACGCCGATCAAGCTACTAGCCTGTGTACAGAACTCAGCAGACCTCATCAAGATGCTTCAAACTTGCCACGGCGCCGCCGGCAACCGATGGGCTAACTTTGTTGCCGTCGATTATTACAAGGTATCCATGTTTTGGTTACGAGGAATGTTACGTGAATTTAAAAAGTAAACTTAATAATTTTAACCATTTATTTTATTGTGGGTCTTAATATTTACTAGAACCCACTACCTATTCAATGATTGAGATTATCAAATCTAATTTTTAAATTCATCAAGTATTACTCTTTGGTTATATCAAATCTTCTTCCCACACTTCGTAACATGTTTCCCTTTGTTTTTGTTTTTCTAAATTTTGCTGTGTAATTATGTAGAGGAGCGAGGGAGGAGGAACATTTCAAGCTCTGGATACTTCAAATGGGGAGCTTTTGTGTGGTTGCGATGATGTACATGCTTGTGTGGTAAGTAGCCTTCTCAAGCGAGTTGGGTGACGTGGATTCACGTAGTGTATTAGAGGGTTTGTGTCAGAAAATACATCATTCATACCCGATTTATTTATTAATTCATGTCTAATAAATCGTGTCATATCGAATTTATATCGTATATTTTTTTTGATTAACTTTACTCATATTTAATTCGTTTATTAATTGTGACACATCGTATTTACTCGTTTATTAAACGAATGACTTAAAAAAATACAAATTTTTTAATTTTATATCATGTTCATATCGTATTAATATATCATGTCATATTTTGACACTTATAATCGTAAAACACAAAAATTATATGCTCATGGTAGTAGTGGGGTCTGCTACGTCTATTGCAAAAATAAAAAATAAAAAAAAAAGTGTCAGTTGATTGCAGTGGTTGGGACTGTAATTGGTCAACGGTTAAGTCATTCCAAGAAAGGCCCACCCTAATTGATTTTACTAAGCGAGCCACCCATCGGGCCAATCCCAGTGAGACAATATTTTCACTTGTTTCCTTGGGCTTTTGCTGAGTCGGTACATGAAATTAGATTTAATTATCAAAAAAAAATATAAAAAAAAATATTTTGTAAAAAAATCCAATTAAGATATAAAAAAACTTAAATACACTTTTATTGTAAATAAGTTTTCTAAAAACGATTTTGAAAAAAAATTCATATTTAATTATATCCACGGTATCCGGTGTGTACTCCTTCATCTTCAAAAAAAAAATGATACAGAATCTGTTCATCTCCCTTGGTGAAACCTCAGAGCCCAATTTGGCCCATGAACCAGGCCCACTGATCCACCGGGCTTTTCAGTGAAACATATGATTCACAGAAGCAGGGCACCAAACACATGATTCTCTTATGAGTGATAACACATACAAGATTGGCCCATAATTCTGATCCACTTGATGAAGCCATTACATTACTGGATTCTCTTATAAGTTGCAACACCACAAGACTGGGCTCATGTGGAAGAGGCCCAATTGATTACATGCATAGAGTGGAGTTGCAATTTTATACTACTTCAATTCAAAGAGAAATTAACAAGCATTACATTTCGAAAAACCAAAGAGAAATTAACAAAGCATTTGGTCTTGTAGGCCGGATCTACATCAGGAGCTTGCACCCGCCGAGCATGAAGGCAAGAAGAGAATCCACTTTGTTAAATGGTAGATGTGTTCGTTCCTCAATAAAGTTTCTTAAAATAAAATACAAAATCCGATTTAATTGTATAGGAAGAGTTATAATCTTCTGTTTTTTTGGAACGAATAAAAGAAATTGAAGTTTCTTCTTCTTGGGCTTTTAGAAATAAGTACATACGCAGCTAATTTGCTTAGCTAATTAGCCAGAAATAGTATAGAACAAAGCTGAGTTTTTTTTTTGTTTAATGGTCACAGATTTCTGGGCCCAACTTATACACACCTCGACTAATTTTTTTTTCAATCCGATTAAAAACAGTTCATTCATATCCATTGAATTGAAGTATTGTCCCAAGAATATTGGGTCCATTCCACATAAATACTTTTTATTTTTTTGGAGGTTTTGAACAGGAGTGTTTATCGTGCAAAATTTATCAAGTTTGAATATACTTATATGTGGATTGATTCGATCTCGACTTGATTCTTATTTGAGCTTGACCATCGAGCCCATTTCTCAGTAAAAAAATTCAAGAAACTAAACCCTTTCAATTTAAAGTAGTTTGAGTGAACTAAAACGACCAAAACTCGGTCTATGAAAGACTGTTTAACAATTCTACTAATTGGGCAGACTTGGGGAAGGTACCGAACCTCGAGGCTACTAACACATTAGAATATATTTTTGTAAAAATTGGGACTAAGTTCTCCTTAAAGAACTTATAATGAATTTTATCCGTCAAAGAAACTTATTTGAAAATAAATCCGTTTTTAATCTTAATAATGAGTAGTTAAATCCCTTATTTTTTTAAAAACTCCAAAATACCCTTTCTTGAAAGTAACTTCAAATTAGTTTCCTAATTTGAGAATTATTATCCCTTAATTCACTATTAATAAAGTTATACCAATAAATTTTTTTACATAAATTTGAAATTCAAATTCAAAGAACAACTGATATTCTCTTTCTCTCTCTATATATAATTTTTTACTATATTACTATTTATGTTATTATTTTTGTTGAACATGTTATACTATTATTTTTTCAAATATTAATACTTAATGTTATAATTTTTTTTTTGTGTTTAAATATTAATACTTTTTTTGTATTTAAATGATACTATTTTTTTTGTTTAAATGTTATTATTTTTTTTAATGTTACTATATGTATATGTATGTATATATATACATGTATATATATGAGAGAAAAATAAATAGTTCTATTTTATATGTGGATATAGATATAAGAGAAAGAAAATTTTAATATTAATCAAACTCCTAAAATTTTAAGAGTTATTAATTTTAAAATTTTTGTAATTAAACATAACTATTAGCGGTATTTTAGACAATAGTGATTAAAATGGACTTCATATTAAACAAGTTTTTTTAATAGACTTATCTCCAAACAAGTACACAACGATGGACCGACCTCTAAATGTTCCTATATTTTTTTCAAGATAACAGCAATCCAGCCATAACACACTAGGTTATAACTCTTAACTAGATAAGATGATATTGCTAAGTTGTCCCTATAATTGAAGTACATCGCTGCGTTTGCATGTTGTTCATGCTTGAACAAATGGGCTACAAGTTGCACAACACTACTAGAAAATGTAAAAGAAACCCCACCAATTGTTCCTTCATTGTTATACAAAATTAATGTTGGTGATGGGCAACTAACCACTCACCCGACCCACCAAACTTGATTGGTAGGACATGAGTTTGGGTCTTTGTCCTTTCATCTATTCCATGATCAGAATAGGGCAAGATACACGTTACACCATAATGTTGAATCAAAAGAGAGATTTCTAGAAATAATAGATTTATTGCTTGGCTAGTATGAGTTAATTAATAGAATTTTAGACTTTGATTATCAAGGAATAAAGACTTTACAAATAAAAACTACGAATGGGGCATGCCGAGCCCATGCAAAGGCTTTAGTTAAGGTATGCCAGATTCTACCTAGTATACAAATGAAATCTAATCATACGCGTCCTCTGATTATATCGTCCAAATCATCTATGCTAACAATACATCCATAATTTAAGATGAAGTCATTCAATATTTCTTTTTTTAAAGAAAACATAGATCTAAATATCTAATAGTTTTCATTATCATAGTGCATCTCTACATCCAATCCAAATCAACTTTCATTAGATATAAATTTTAGCAAGTTACACCTAGAATTAAACTGAATTTAACAAAATAATTACTCCATTTTATTATATGTAATTCAAGTTGGATTACTTACCAAATTGCACATTGATTTTTTCTAATTTGAATCCATCAACTATATTTGGTACGATCTATCTACATTCATATTTTGATACTCGGTAAAAAATGTTAACCCATATCCAATTCTTTTGATTCAAATTCACATAAAAAATTCGATCCGTGGACAAATCTCTCATGGTTTTGGAGTAGGGTAGTTTTTGAAGGTTGAGAATGTTTTCTTTTTCCTTAGATGGGATCATTCACATGCATGATTTCATTTCAACAAGCTTTTGTATAACTAAGACCAGTCAACACTCTGTTTAGATTCTTCCAAAACTCAGTTATAAAATGTAATTAGTTGATGCTTTCTTGTCAAACAATGAGTAAATTCTTTCTAGTCAAAGCACGAATTACAAAGTTTTTAACTTCAATATTAACTAGTAAACAACAATTCATCAGTCACCATCTTTAATTAATCTAAAAGTGTGCAGCATGTGAGTAGGTGGATTAGGAGGTATCTAACACATGCCAGCAACGTAAAGATATGAATAAAAATCAAAGCTATTATTACTAATACATCATCATTACATTATTATATTACATGATATCAGATCAGCAAGATTAACCTAACTCTCTGTTCATTGGCAGATATGTTGCTTTTTGCGAGGAATAATGGGCTTCATGTTTTAGGTGGATACGAGATTCAGATTTCAGAGAGAGGGGGAAAAAAAATGTTGGGTGTAATTTTTATATCATATCAGCAATGCTGTGTGATATAACCGTCTATTAATAAGTAAACAAATCTGCAAATGAACTCAAAAAAATTCATAACGTCCCAACCATGTAATACATTACCATCTCAATAATAAAAAAATGGGTCTCATTTTATCTATTTTGTAGTTTTTTATTAGATGGTTACACTACATCGACATTGTTGATATAGTACAACCATTACACCCAATATTTCCTCTAGAGAGAGAGAGAGAGAGAGATGAGTCAGTTTCTTTTAGGTTCAATTATTATGGATCAAGTTAACTACTGTCTTGCTTTCTAACTTAGTTGAATACCATGGTAGTGGACTCCTGTACCCAATGTAGTAGTGGTTTTATTAAAAAAAATTTTTGAATTAAGCTAACCCTATTGTAGCCTAGAAGGGTTATAGTTTTTGACACAATAAGAGCTTGATACTACACAATTAATACATGATAAACTGTTTGACTCGTACTGTAAGACGAAAATATCTGCTTTTATTTTTATTTTTTTCATTTTTAAATCCAATATTATGTGAATTCTTGTAAAACTAAAAGGCTCTTTATTTAGTTTTGCTAAAATGTTGATGAAACAGATCTTCAATTTATGGGGAGTATTGTGTAGGGGATTTGATTGACAGAAACATTGTCCTATACTTGTCCTTACTAGTTTACAGGTTAAATAAATACAACACAAACTCAAGATGAAGTGAGGCGAATATAACACGAGAGGATACAATTAACACCACCAAGTCTGAGCATGCTAATGTTTGAAGCTAAGGAAATCACAAGGATAATTCAAATAATAACAGCTACGAGTTAAAAATTTAAACGCTTTGAATTTTAATTTTAATATCTCCTTGAGATCAAGTCACGAGAGATTTATTCCTCATAAACACCCTATTACTGACATGAATGACTTGTTTTTAATAGAATCAAGGAGGGGATTAGTCGATGTGCACGTTAATTGGCCAAGACACCCATAACTATTAAACCAAAAAAAAATAAAAAAGCTAAGGAACCACAAAACTTAACATGGAGATATTTTTGAGAAGTTTGCAGCTGTTACTTTATCTCATCATGTTCTTGAAAAAGAAGTAAAAAACGAGAATAGCTTCTAAGCAGGGCCTTGATTAACACTGTTTATAATTCAGGGGCCCCCATTTTAAAAAACCTGGAGAACATAAAAAGATATCAGATTACGACTCAAAGGAAAAGACAAATGAATGGGAGGCTATTCCTTATTGGTGGAGCTTGGATTTGGAACGATGATAAATTTTTATCAGTTTATTGACAAATCGAAGGTTTGAGTGTGAAATGGTCAAATGTGTATAATCTTATTTTTACTTATAAACAGACTATTTTTATAATTCAAATTTGTGACACTAAGATTATAATAGAACAACCTCATGCTCAATATGACAGGTGCACTGTCTAGGATGCAATTTGAATGAAAAAAAAAAAAAACCAACCTCTGATACCAAAAATATGGTGTTGGGGTTTGTTTGGGGTCAGGTAATAGTCAATTGTCCATTATCGTACCAAGGACGATCCCCATAACCCACGAGGGGGTAACATGCATTTGGGCAAGTTTTCCATTGTTGTTTCTGACACAAGAGACCAAACCCCATAGAAGCCCCACCAGAGCTAAGTTTCAATCCCATTGTGGCCTAGCAGCCACCGGATCACATGGTGTATGTACCTCCTTTTCAACATAAGGATACCTAATGTGGGCTAAAGGGAAGAGGGGAGAGAGAAAAAAATAAAGAGTACAAACACATTGGGGAATCGAAGAAACAAGAACAAAGACAAGCATTTGGGCATCAAACAAATGGAATGGGGACCCTTTAACACATGGGGTGGGGTGCCTTCAAGCTTGTGCAGTGGAGCCAACCAAAATCTTAAAGATTCTTCAGCAATTTGTTGGTTGGAACCACACTCTTTGGGGCAAACTCTCAAAACACATGTTAGATCAATCAAAAATTGTAGGATCTTCTCACTTTCTACTACATGATGATGGCAATTTTTTGACAAGAAATGAATAGAGTCGCGAACACTCACAAAGGTCGTAATTAAAAAATGAAAAAATCGTATCAAATCCACAAGACTGCTCACCGATACTATGGTCTAAAACAACTAACCACGACATCACATCTGTAATTAATGCATTCATCATAGTTAACAGTTACAACTTGTACACGCAAGACAGCTGAATATTTA